CACACACACACACACACACACACACACACACACACACACACACACACACACACACACTGCTCTTCAGCTGGTTAAGGGTTAAGCAACTGTGTTTACATCTGCTCTTTAAACAGGTTTTTTTCCCTCATCACCTGTTAAGKTTTTTGTTCTTKGAAGAATCAGGGCTGCATTGTGGCACAGGTGTTAATAAACATAATAGACCTCATTGATTTATGATGGTTTAAAAACACAGATTCTTCAGTGAACATACATTTTAACCTGTGTGACATTCTGAGGCATAAAGTGCTGASTGGTCTTTTTTAAATCAGAAACAGTCACACAAGGAGACAGCGCCCTCTGCCGGATCAGTGCTGACATTATTTATCTGAGCTCAGACAGACAGAAAAGCAACTTTATAAATAGAAAATATGACATTTTAACTACCTGGACTTTGTGGCGTAGAATGGCCTAGAGATCTGACCTTTAACGTTTTTAACATTATTACTGTAATAATTACATCTTTTAATATGGATTTACCTGACGTTTAGTGAGATTTTGGCACTAATATATGCTGTTTCTTTCATTTTCATTTTAGGAACAAAAAAAAATCTATATGTTGACAGTTATGCTGTTGTTTATTTGTCATGGCAGTGTGTGGCATTAGTGTCCCGTGTCTTGTGAGAGAAACACAAAGCAGTGTGTGTGTGTGTGTGCGCGTGTGTGCGCGCATTCCTGAACAGCTCCCGGGTGATGAAGAGGTTAAGCCTGCCCCTCTCAGTTGAAACTCTCTGGATTTTCCAGCCCAGCTGCCTGCTCCAATCCCACTTCAATCCTGCGAGCAGARCAGACACCATGGACCCGCTTTAACTCTCCTTCGAACCGCATGGAGATCTAATTTTACTCCCCACTTTTTTTTTTCTTTCTCCTTCTTCTCGCGGAGGCGTTTGTTGTTGTTTGGTTTCTCTCTTTGGGTTTCATGCGCTCCTCATGCGTCGGGGATCAGTGCCATGGCCACTCCGAGCGCGCAGCAGCASCACCACCACCAGCAGCCGCACCACCAGCAACAGCAGCAGCAGGATTACTTCCGATCCGTCAGCAGCGAGTCCACCACCTACATGATGGTCCCGACCGGGGGTCCGAGCGGGCCGGGGCGCAAGGAGGCGCCGTCCAAGATGTGGCTGGCCATGGTGGTGATTGTGGTGGTGGTGCTGCAGATAGCCTCCACCACCGGGCTCTTTGTCTACCTGAACATGTCCATATCACAGGTAAGGAGCTGCTTGCTGCTCGCTGTGAAAGAAAACATCAGACCTGATTTTCTTTTAATGTATTTATTTATTGGTAAGTCATTGAAAGGATTAAAAAAAAAAAACTAAGTGGAGATTTCCCCCTGAACAGAAAAGTTTTGCAGTTTTGGGTGTCAAACTTGACCCAAATGAAGAGTCACTTATTTAAAACAAAACCATAAATACACCTTTGTTTTTAAGTGTAATCTGTCAAACTGTTAATATTTAAATGTGATTTAGAACTTTTATTTCTCAAATGAAGGGAAATTCCAACAAACAGTAAAGCCTATTAAATTGGGACTCATTCTGTGATCTAATCTGACAAAAAAGCTGCATTTTAATGGAAAACCTGTCAAAGAAGTGCAACAAAAACCTGTGATTTTTTTTAATTAAAAGCTGCTGTCYATCTTTTTACTGTTGCCGTGGTAACCACACATCTGTGTTTCTCACTCCCTGGCAGCACTCTGAATAAAGGATAAACCTCATGCTTGACGTGAGGTAGAACAAAATTACATACGCACAAACAAATATAGAAAATGTAGCAATGTAGATAAAAGAAACCAATACAAACTAAAAGAAAATAGAGTGACGAGTAATAATAATATACAAAAGTATCTACATGAGCCACAGTGACAWACTGTGCACTAGAGCATTGTTCAATATGATTATAATGGCAGCAACATGGATAAATAACCAAATGTTGTAAAATGTTAGTGTTAATAAAGTGTCAGGCATAACTGCAGAGCAGAAAGTAAGCCTCAAACAATCCTGAGCTGATTTAYGTAAGACGTGGCAAGTTCCACTTCCAAGTTTGAAGAGAAAATTCGGAGCTCAGGACCAGAAGTTAATGAGAGTTTGGATGTGCAGCTTGGTTCTTCTGTTGTTTCGCCAATATCCAGGAAATCTTTTGTGATACGGTGCAAAATTTCATTTACCATGGGTGTGAATCTCAGTTATACAAGGCTGCCAAAATTCAAAACTTTTTTCATTTTTTATTTAAAAAATCTTGATTTAAATTATTATGTATGTTTACAAAAATACAAACGACCTTTTCCTAATTGTATTTTATGTCACCTTTAAAACAAATAGAATCTAACAGATAAAGAAAMAAGATAACATTTGCATTAATGTCTCATGCCTTACACTCTAATAACAGCTTTGCCATTTAGATCCCTTTTATCACAATTCAGCAGATCCRTTAAAAACATAAAACCCTCTCAAAAATCCAACTATTTGACTTTAAAATAAGAAGAAAACACAGAAAATATAGTTAAAATTGACTACTGGCACAAGAAGACTGCACTAAACACAATGACAAAAAGAGAAACGATAAAACAATTTTGCATTTAAAAAATTAAGTTTGGGGCCAGATAAAATGTTAATGAGGGCCAGATTTGGCCCRCAGGCCTTGAGTTTGACATATGTGATATGATGTACTAGCAAAGGTTGAATTACAATGTCCTCGATCAAGACGCAAATAAAGTGGCAAACCAAACGTTTTGATGAAAATGGAAGAATAATTGACAAAGAGTAAAAATGCACCACTAATTTCCCTAAAATATTTACAACAAACTGCTTACTGAATAAAGTAAAATACTGATAAAAAACAAATATGTGGCAATCATTCCTTTAACTTTGCTCTCTCGATTCAGTAATAATAAGTATAATAATAATGTGAACATGTAGATACATCTATTATTGTTCTATACTTGTGCTGAAGATGTGAGCTCAGATTTGACCAAAATTAGAAGAGACTCAAGTTTCTCAGTTGTGTTGGACACATCCAAAATATTATCTCACGCACTCGATAAATTTGTGAGAAAACTTTAAAAATCTGGTCTGATCCTTGGGGCTTAAAGAAACAAGTAAAACTTTTTTTAGGGTGACGTAATAAGAGATTTGTTGATKTTCATCTCTTGCAGTTTGACTCAGGACTTGTCAAACAACACAATCCAGAATCTAAAAGCTGTACTGAGAAGAAGAGGCTACGGCCTTCCTCTCTGCCCGGCTGTTTTTACTGAGCAGGATCAGCTTGTGCGCATGTGTAGAAAGGGCACATATTGGAGCCATTTGGGGTAAGCAGAGGTTGCAGCTTGTTTTTTAGTGGGATACAGATGTGGCGTGCAGAGGTGAAATATGCAGGTCATTAATGGAGGTGGGCCAGACGGCTTTGATTAATCCCATTTTTATCTCCTGAAATGATGATATATAGGTAATGTGTCTGCAGCGCTGAGCTGTGAGATATTGCGTCCAAACTGGCTTGAGACGATAGTGATATTTCACAAAGCCGAAAGGAAACGTTTGCAGTTTTTCTTTCACAACAGAACTCATTCTGCCTCAGCCTTTACCTCTGACAGAGAAAGCTGCAGAGTTGTCAACTTTAGAAGCAATGGGCCTCATGCAAGAACATGTTCGTATTCTTCTCCTAAATTTCTCTTACTTTTGTTCGTACAAAGGGTTCGTA